GATTCAGTTGAGTCTCCCGTGAAAGCCAAATTGATTGGCAACTGAGTGTATTTCTCGAAAACAGTTCAATGTGGATTCAAGTAGAATATAAGGTTGACGGAAACTCGGGGACTGCGCCTACCTGATGAGCCCCAAAAAGGGCGAAACTGGTCGTGCGCTGTCGAAGAGTTTTCAGCAACCTTGTGAGTAGTTTCCTTCATGGAATACTGAGTTATTTGACTGGGACTTTGGATGTCAGCGAAGCATCAGTGTTGAACGGTGATGTCGTATTGCAGATGTTGATAACAGAAATTCGTTTCCAAGGTGTTTATGTTCTCCTACCGCGAACCAAATGCCCACGATGCCACTGTTCGGTGTTACGCTGCTTAGTCGGTTGCATGCGTACATGGGTGATGGACCGATAGGTTATGCAATTTTTTGCCGGACGGGAGCCGACTCGGATCAACCGCGTGAGGAATATCACACGAAACGTCATTTTTGCGTATTTAGCGCTTTAGGAAGCTGAGAGAGGTCTCATCGCAAAATAAAGTTGGGTTTTTGCTGTGCAGTGAACGTCCAGCTCTGCTTTCTGAATGCAGTATATTACTTCAGTTTGTCAAAGAGTTGTCGTTAGATAAATCCCGATTTATGGTATACGCGCATATATACGAGGTTCGCTTTCGGTTGAAACAAACTATACAATTTTCCCCACTATTTTCCTCCTCTACTACACCCTTAGGTAGTCGTTCCGGTGCGCTGATCGCGGTTTGTTGGGCCACCATGATGTATTTCGGACGGCAAGGTTATACGGATTCTACGCGCCGAATTGTGAAGACCACTCAGTTCATCGCCTCCGAGTACGTCCTGAAAGTTTATGCTATTCGTCCTGACCTACTTTCACATCACGTGAACAATTAAGATTTCCCCAAAAAAGGGGCGAGATGGTTGGAGCGCGAATTTACTGACCGGACGTTCTTGGTTCGAACCCAACTCCCTAAGCTCGATCAGAGCTCCGAATAATCCTGGCTTCCCGAGTGATGGCTTACTAAACGATCCACGTGATGTTTGGGTAGTTTTCAATTCGGAGCGTGCTATTTATATGTTGCGCTGAATATCGTTCAGTGGTTAAGGCACAAACTTGGCGATCGGAGGGTCCATGGTTCGAACCCAACCTCAACATCTCCGCTCCTGTCTGGGTTTGGGCAACCTGGAATTATCTCAGTCTTCGTGTTTCCTTCGAGTGGCATGGCCAGTAGGCGCCGAATGCGTGTTGCAGCTAAACGGTCTTGCAATTACCAAATATATCGCTGTGGTTTTACTTTCGGTCTGAAATCAAGAAAGTTAGCCCAGCCACTGTTGAGTAGTCGATATGCCGATAATCAACAACGCGCACCTCACAAATCTCAACGAGGACAGGCGGTAAAATCACTTTAAGCTTTGAGCAATGAGATTGATTCAACACATCTCATCCACAATTGTTCAGATGCATATCACGTGACCTGAGTCAACAAACTGACCAAAACTAACTGCTTTCCAGTTCAATGAATTTGTTTGACCGCGATAACAAATCAATAGCTAAGATGAGTGACAATTCGTAAGATGTGGGTCGGGAGGAATCAAGTGTTGTACAGGTGAGACCTCAAGATGCTTTGAACAGAATAACTACATGTAAGAGAAGCTTACGGTTCCGAATCCCCCAAGGACTGAAAACGGGCGCAAAACACATGAACGATAGTTTCTCACATGCTCCCGAACGTGATTCTACTGAATTTAAATTGAAAATATCAAAGCCAGGTGGTAACAATGGGCGATCGGAGAAACCCAGTCGAATTTGAACAGAGCAGTGGTCCGTGGTTACCCTTTCTAGGCTTGAGCAGTATCCGAGACCTCGTGCTTCCTTCGGGTGGCATGGGAGCTAGGCACTGAGGGGATATAACTGCTGAACGATTAGTATGATTGATGGTAAAAACAGAGCATTTTTCCTGATGAGGAGCTGAACGATGATTTGGCTTTCTCTTTTGAAGTTTGTGGACTCCCATTTGGAGGTAATTTCTTCTACCAATCAACGGTACACTAAGGTTTTGACAACTGCTTAACGCTTCACGGGACTGCTGTTGACAACCTGTTCAGTATTGATTAACCGGCTTTGTCCGATTCGTCGTGATTAGTCCTCCAAAATGAGTCTCATATTTGTTCGATGAAACCCTTGATATGGTGGTTTAGATTCAACCTCAAACCCGATCCATTACTAATGTCAACCGACAGAACACCCCTGGTGAACCAAACTGTTCCGTCGAAACGTCTGGCTGGCTTGCTGTAAGCTCTAACTTGGATATAAAGAAAACGAATTATACTCACGGCAAATCAATCAGATCGTTCGAGTGTGAACACGCACACCTGCTCAGGTGCACGCAGTGTGAGCTGGTGGGGTAGAAGTAACACACTCGCCTTACATGTCGAAACCTCGGTAAGGTCAACGATATGCACTGCTATTAGGCTCTGATAAGAGTGCGGTGCTTCTCCGGTCTGGCCTGGCCTCGTCAGAATAATCGCGCCAGGGTAACAGGAGGGCCGTTCAGATTCGAGTGATATGAACGTGATCCCTACTAAGCCCGGAACAACTCTAAACTAATCAAGACGGTGACGTCAGCAACTCTTCTCAGCAGGATGGCGTTGAACACATCCATCAACATGACACTATCATCGATCATGTGGTTGTGACTGTCTAATCTAATCGCATCTCAGAAATAACTAGTTCCTGCTAGATCCTGCTTTGTTTTTCACAGGTGGTAACACTGGACCGCGTTTCGAAATCCTTTCGCTTGTGATCCGTTTATTATGTGGGTTTTATTCCGTTTCTTAATCGGCTTGTTTTCTACAGAGCCTGATTTTGGTTGTAGATATTTTTCTTTTAATTTTATGTTTTTTTTCCACCAATAGAATCGTGCTTATCCAGTCCGGATGCACTCATTGTTTGCCCACAAATGTTTCATCGTTTCAGGGATCATTCTGTATGTGCCGTAATTCCCCTTTCAGGGAGTGGTTAGCGCGTGAATTTGCTGATCGGGAGGTCCGTGGTTCGAACCCGACCTCTGCCTCTCCATGTTCCGACCTCCGCCTCTCCATGTTTAGGCTTGAACAATCTGGCAGTATCCCAGCCCTCATGCTTCCTTCCGGTGGCATGGCAGCTAGACGCCGAAAGGATGTTACAATTAACCGATTATCTATTTCTTAGTTTATAAACTGTTTAATGCTCGGGAGTAACCACTCATTTCACTTGCGTGGATGATGAAACGCGGACATGTTTAAAGCCCAGGTTGTTTCTTTTATGTAGCCTTCTGTTGACTAAAAAGGGGGAGATGTTGTGAACAGGGCGTTTTAGTGTTTCAGCATCGCTCACTGTTTTTCTTGTGATTAGTCCAGATAACAGTGGTCTTCCTATTCGGCGGCTGTTGACAGGACACCAATACGGCGTGTGCTCCGCTTACAAAGGATTTTTGTGATAGCGAATCCTCCTCGTCGAATCATTCTGAGAGAAATTGCGACGCGTTCTGAGAGTTTACCTGGTTTCTGGTCTTGACACCACAATGTACCAAGCAGTTGAATGTTTTTTGTGCGCGAGTCAAAGCACCCTGACTGTTCGATGTTGAAAAACTCCAGTCCGTTGAAACTCTGTGAAAGCATTCGTATGTCTAGGCCAGGTGCTTGAAGTCACAATTAAGGAGTTCACTGCGTGAAAATCGTGTGTCGCAGCTACTCCACCTGGTCGTGTTGTCTCACCCCTGTCCTGATCTGAGCACTCGTATGTCTACTCATTTCAACTGTTCGGAATGCAGTTCTATTGCGCGCTAGCTTCAAAGCCGTCTGATCTCTGTTTCGGATCACAGCCTATGTTTAATCCCCATCGGTTTCCCATCTGCTCCTAAATTAGCGTTACTATTATCCCCTCCCTTCTTGTACGCACAGGTTGCGGAAAGTCCCGGGAATTTTCGTCTACGGTGACCCTCAGGTGTGTGTGGTTGCTTTCGGTTCAGATCGTTTCGATATTTATCGTTTGGCCCAAGGTCTTTCCGAACTGCCCAATGGTCGTGGTTGGTGTCTGAACGCGTTACAATTCCCGCCTGCGCTACACTTGTGTGTGACAGATTTACACACAATTGAAGGCCGTGCCGAGGGCTTCATCCGTGATGTGAGTACTGTAGCGGCGGAACTGTGCGATCATCCCGGAAACTATTCAAGTGGTGCTGTGAGTCATTCAGTCCTCTTTCGACTCATGAATTACGCTACTTGTTCTCCTTCTTTTCTTCACAGTTCACCCACTACGGACTCAATTTTACCATCACACATGTTTGAGGAGAAAAACAAGATTTTCAAATAGTCCGTAATCAAAAGAAAGCATAGTTGAGTTCAGCTCAGAAGACCGTCTACGAAATCACTCTCAGCATGGAAAACTACGAAAGCGGACTGCTTCTGAACGTCAGCATGTGTGTTAGACTAGCTGTGGATGGGGGGCGATTTTTCATGGGATTTTTTGTGGACCCCCCCAAGTATGACGATTCGATTGGGGCCTAGTCTCTCGAAAAGATTCACTTTATCAGCAAATCATCCTAAGGGGTTCTATGACGAGAACATGATCCCTCTCTTTGAGGTATCGAAAAGTCGGAAAACAGTATGATCAATGGATGAGGACAATGGCAGTTTTGACCTGTTCGAACGATTTTGCGGCAGGTTGTTTACAAAAGTGGATGGGATCTGAGTAGGAGGCATTCCGCTAACGGGAACCCCCCCAGCGCGGTATGCTAACCCATCGGCCATCATCATCAGAGTCAGCAATGTCAGTGTTGACATTGTCGTATAAGCACAAAGTTCATCTAATTATACGTAAAGCCTCAAAGTGATAAAATACGAAGAAGCAAGGGTGAGGGCTATCTCAGGCATTCTGAAGTGTCTACACCTTCAAGTGCTCAACCGGACGATTTGGAGAAAAACTGAGAGTACAACAGGCAGTGACATTGATTGATCGCAATTTCCTAATGTTCCCAGCCAATCATGGGGTAAGAGGATCACGGGAACTCCATCCTGAAAGGCGGACTGCATCTGTAATCTCTTTCACATCCTTCTTCCAAGTGATACGTCCACCTCGCGGTTTGCGCCATTCTGACGGTGGCACAGAGAACTGTATCGTAATGCATAGCACGTGCTTGGGTCATCGTAGTTGATGGCACTAGATGTTTTCCGTGACTGAAGTGCTTGTTGTTCGTTCCGCATTCGTTGATGCCATCCGATACCAGCAACGTCTCCGAAGCTTCCGTGGTTAGGAATCTGAAGATGCCTCACATCGTCTATTGGCGAACGCCACAATTCGTTCGGAAAAAATCGTTCAGCTGTAGCACCCTTTCGGTGCCTAACTATCATGCCATCCGAAGGTTGCACGAGGGTTGGGATACTGCCAGGTTGCCCAAGCCTAGTCAGGGGAAGTCGAGAGGCAGAGGTCGGGTTCGAACCACGGACCTTCCGGTCAGTAAATTCGCGCTCTAACCACTCCGGTCATCTCGCTCCCTCGGCAGTCTCGACCACAGTTCAATTCAATTCATTTCAGCTATAAACCATGTGCCGTTCCAGCTACTACAGTTTTGATCACCGGAAAACGGGAAAGTGGGATACAAAACCAAGCCTAGAAGGCGAAGGTATGCTCAGTTCGGCGGGAAATTGGGTAGCTACGCAGTGAAGGCGATATGATGTACGAGCGTCACTGCAGCGCGATTAGTCCAATGTCAATAACCACTGGTGATTTGAGTGCCCTAGGTGATATAAACCTAAGCTTCGACTTTTTAAATATGCGCGGTGCCATTCTCAGTCACTCGTTTTTTCTGCTTACTTCCTTTTTTTCATGTCCTCTCAGGCGGCTCTCTATGGAGCGTGTGCGACCATACCGGACCGGTCCATCATATCTGAAGTTGCCGTCGGCTACATCGATGCATGTTACGACACACCCGCACCGAAAACGGAACAAACCAAGTGGAAAGAATAATGAATTCGCCCGATATTTACGGCTTCCCACACTTGTTAGTTTTTCGGGGATATGACATCCCTTATTTATTCACTTATACCCCAAATGCTTTGTTGTGTCTAGTTTCAATTTTCAAATACCCGCATTACCAAATAATCCCGACTCATATTGTCGAAATTCAGCCGACTATTACTCCGTCACAACTGTACTTTGGTTTCTTCTTGTTGTTGTTCCTCCCACTGGTTCGGTGATTTCACAGTTGTGAGGTTTTGACCTGCTCCACGGGAGTAAAATTTTTCGACCAATTGGAGGAGTCTTGTATCTCAGTCAGGGAGGTCCTTTTTGCATGCAAACTCCCTTTCACGCCTAGGTTTGTCTGACGCATCCGCTTCCCAACGACTTTTTCACAATCGGGAGCTGCTCCATAGTTCTGAAGCTCAGCTGTAAAGGCGCCAGCTTACGCACCGTGGTTCAAACCGGACTTCAGCATCTCGACTTCTCCTGTCTAGGCTTGGGCAATATGACAGTATCCCAGCCCTCGTGCCTCCTTCCGTTGGCATGGAAGCTAGGCACCGAGCGGGTACTACAGTTGAACGATTTTTTATATCTGAAAATGTTGTCATGGCTCAACAAAAATGATTCTTGCTGAGTACAGCAGTCCTCCCAATCGGAGCCACTCCTGCGACTCAGTGAAAATAATCGCCTATGGGGCCCTACTTGACAGAATGGGCCAAATCCCTAGTTTGGTTTGCAAAAAACCGGTCTGAAATTGAAGTTGGCAGCTGGGGACTAGCGTGCTCAAGCATTGATTTACTCATCTTAGTCTTCTGCTTGATCGAAATGCCCGCGCTTTCCGAATTCACAGATTCGAAATTTGATTGCAACCTACTCGTTTCACTTATGCAGGAAGGAAATGTTCCAAAGGGGTATCTGGCCGTTGCGTTAATCATCCAGTTTTTGTTTGATGGGCGGTTATCCGTAGATGGGGAATCTCATTGGTTGACGGATGAACTCACTCACCGGAATTCCGGTGGCTTTAGCTTGACTGGGCGACGCAGGAGTATCTCAGGACACGTGACAGATGTGAACCAAAAGCATGTTACAACAGAACGATCAAATTATATTCTGTTGCCGTACGACTGGGCGACGCAGGAGTATCTCAGGACAAAAGCATGTTACAACAGAACGATGAAATTATATTCTGTTGCCGTATCGATGATTGCGGTACGTAAGCAGTCCGGCGCCTGCCAGAAAAAAAACTGTTGTACTTGAAAGCTACTCGTCTGTTCGAATGCCACAGTGAGTTACACTTGACTATTGGCGCTCTTCCTACCGGATTCAACTGATCCAAACATTGCGAAAGATAGGTATCTGAAGGCTCTCTAAGGGTTAAAGTCACCCAAATGGATGACTCTTACAATCCTTTCAGTGAGAAACCCGGAGCGTTGAAGAAAAAATGTCTGAACTCGGCAAAAGTGCGGCATGTTTCAGCGGGAATGGAAGTTTAGCTATTTTCAATTTATATTTCACCCTTTGGGTGATGCCGTCCCATACTGGAAAGCTAAAAAGCAGTTCACAGCTGCCTGCTTCATCCTCATTGAAAATCCCCAATGAGCATAATGCTTCCCGATGATGATTTGAACGAAAACCCAATGATAAGTTATTCAGAATGGCTACTCGAAGCACAAGGGAACCTTCTGTTTGAGGATTCATCACTCAGGGAGTCAGTCAGCACGCGACCACGTGATCTGGTTTCTGTGATATCCGAGTGAACGGAAGTATATCCTACCTAACCATGCTGATCAGCCTCTCGAGACCGAGAGGTTCGGCGTCCAACCACTGGCCGAAAGATCTTGCGTCGGATGTGCACTGCCAATGGTTCTCAATAAGGATGGAATAACACTACTGGGCCTCACCACCCGGATGAAATACCACTCTCCATTCTACTATCACTTCGGCTATTTCCTAGTTCAAAAGGTGTGCTGAAGGACGAACGCTGGTCAAGAATATCACTATAAGGGCAGCATCAGGCTTCTCTTTTCATTCACCGTCCATCATTATAACCACGGAACTGAGTGCCTTACTCGGGTCACTGAATTTTTCAAAATGTTTCACACCGTTTCAGAGTGACAATGAACAGAAATTTTATCCATCAGGAGTTCAGCGAACAACTCAGATCTGTACCTACATTTTCCACGCTGTCCAATCGTCTTGTTACGTCAGAGCTTGTGCGACAAATTAATTGAATAAGCCGTGGTGAAACTGTCCGAGGTAGACAATCTCGTAGCTGACAAAGTCTGGTAACAGGACAACTCTTTGAACAGGATAAATTTCGCACAATGCGATGAGACTACATCCAAACAAAGGGACCTACTCGGATCTTTGCATTTTCAAGTCGAGTTGAAGGAAATCGTACGAAGCCAAAAATCTCTAGCGGTTGTTTTGTTAGTCACGTGCGAGTTGACGATGCTGTCTAAGCAGAATGTAAATTTTTTGGTTAGTCACCAGCATTAAGGCACAACGAGAGACATAAACTGTGCAGGAGGGGGTGGAGTTTAATTGAAGGGTAGCAGAACAACTTCTCGGTTCAGTGACTCGAGAATATTCGTGTGCGTTTTACCTTTACCGCTAGGATGTCTGGTATCCGTATAACTGAACAGGTGGCATGATCTTCACTCTAAGGAACGTAGTCTTACATGTAGTTACTCGCACATTAGGTTCATCTCCCAGAGGAAGGTGTTTTCCTCGCGATGCAAATCCATCTGACTTTGGGGAGCAATTTATGAACTGTGGCGATTTCTAGCTTTACTTGACAGGATCGACTAAAGTTCACTTGCTGTCCATTTCACAGATGGACAGAGGGGGTAAAATCATATCGTCGGTATCTATAATGGTCATTACATCCCCCTCATACTAACCAGGGGATGAAGTAATCTCGTGAAGTGTGCTGCAATCAGACTACCAATGTTCCTCTTCTCTCTCATGACGATTTGTGAATTAGATTTTTCTAAGTTGTTCATAAAAAATCCCAAATTTTTCCTCGTAGCCACATCGTCAACTAGCTTGTAGGTGGTACGATGAAAATACAAACTGGCGTCCTTAAAATATTATAGATTGCGGTTTTTCTGAACCAGAATGACAACCGGTCGAAATTCAAAATGACCGCTTGAACAGTTGATCGTCTCAATAATCGCTCAGTATTCGCACAATGGAATTGAATTTTCGAATGCCAGGACGTGTCCCTGATGAACCAATCATCATCAGCATCGTCATCATTATCATCAGCAGCATGATCAACATCATCATCCTCAGCATTATCACCATTCTCATCGTCATCATCAGCTTGATCATCATCAGCATCGTCATCAGCATGGTTATCATCATCGTCATCATCATCACCAGCATCAGCATCATGACAGCATCATCCATCATCATCATCATCATCACTGTCATCTATAATAACCGCGTACTCGTCGTATAGTGGTTGTAGCTGCCACAGTTTCATTCACCGATGATTTGGGGGAGGGGGGAGGTAGGTAGCTGCGCATTGCACGCGGGAGCTGATAAATTGGTGCATAAATCCAGCACTGTCAGTTGGCTGTCAAGTAAGGGGGGTTGGAAAAAGGGTCACGCATTGAAGGCAGTAGCTTGGATACACGAGCGCCATTGAGGGTGCGACTGGGCCATCTCTGACAATGTCCCTAGCCATTGATGTGGCCCGTCTCGGGGTCCCCATCCAGGAAGACGGCAATGACCAGTGCAGCTGAGTTTGCTGGTATTGGCTTTCATACTTCGCTGCCAAGTCATTGTTTAACCGCCTCTGGCTCACTTCCACCCTTCACGTGGTTGTGCGAAAATAGCCCTTCGAGGAAGTCGGTCTACTGGCATACGCAGCACGTGGCCAAGCCAGCGCAACCTATGCAGTGTGATCAGTTCATCTATCAAGGGTGAGTTATCTCTCCCGAATGCCCTTCGACGTACTTCAGTATTGCTGATCCGGTGTTCCCAACAGATTCGGGCAATGCTCCGGAGATTGCCTGATTGCTCTGATGGACCAAAGCAATCAGGCAATTTAGTTCAGAGTACCAGTCCAAACTTTTGAGCCCTATTTAGGCATTCCAGGTTCCCAACGATGCTGGGAATTTATTCCATCAGACTTTTCCGCCAGAGTTATGAATGCTTCAGTGGACAATAAAATTTGGTGAGCTGCGAAAGTATGAACGTAGATACAGATGTTTTGAGCGCATACGCAACCAAATGTAACACTTTGGCGCATGAAGTTTTACTCCACTCTTAAAGGTTTTGCAGCTGAGAACATTGTGCGGCTAATGGGTCCCTCGTTTAAATGAAGCAAGCTTGAGTAAGACCTGATTGAACGTCAAACCATCGCACCGTTTTCCGATAAATGCCATTATGAACTAAGTAGGGCAAAAGGTCAAAACCACTTTTCACGAAGCATCTACGAAGCACTGTCCTGGCGATTTTAAGAACAGCTACAAGCTAAACAATCTTGGCTATGAATGTTTGACCTTATCTTCAAGTAGCTGGTAGACAGTCGCCAGGGAAGTTTTTTCTCAACACTGTGCAGAAAGCACTTTGTGACAGTTGGCTCATTTAGACTTGATCGATATTTGTCGGAAAATCATACTCACTTGTGGTCGATAATGCCGACTTTTGGTTGGCACACTTGACAGCAAAAACATTTTGTCTCATGAAGTGTGACAGGCAGTTCGCTATATGTCCAGCGGTTTGTTGACACGGACCAGAAGAATCTGATCCAGCATGTTGACTTCTCCGTGCTTGCGAACATACGAGGACTGTAAGGAAGGCTTTACCACAAAAGCAAAGTGGTTGTATATGTGGACAGCACTTTCCAGATGACCATTCTCTAGTGGAGTCCGTTTTGAGATCTCTTCTCGTTTATCCGGAAAATAAATCACACTTGCTCCTGGAACGGTGTCTTGATTAGACCCTGATTTCTGATTGCTGATGAAAAACTCGAGAAGCGAACGTATTGGCCGCTCGGAACCGATTTAAGGTAGATAATGCGGGCTGTTGCGTTTTTCGGGTTTCCAAACTGCCTTTTGTTTGACTGACCCGCGTGAACACTTTTAGGCGGGTTAAAACCTGAGCTAAACGTTTCTACAATAGAGGAGCTGCATGTACTTGAAGTTTGTGTCATAGGTAAGAATACGCCCAAGATTGTGCTGTCCAGCGCGGAGTCTCTCGTTTGACGATAAGTAACGTCTTCCTAGCCGAAACGAAAAGTTTGCGTGCAGAGTAGGATAAGATCTTTCAACCAGACGGGTGGAATACCTATTGTTGAAATATTCTAACCGGCTACGGAAGCACATAAAAATCCAGCAATTTGGCCTACTAGTTTTTAGTAATGGGGGTATCCAGGGATAGTCCGAGAGTGTTCGGAAGACCTATTCAAACAAAAATTTTCTGCATGGGATGTAACATTTGACTGTCCGTCTGTCTCGTCACTTGTGACAGATAGAACTGCGGATGTTTGTTATGAGTCTGTCCTCCCAGGCTGTGCATCGTTCATTGGTTTTAGCTGACATCTCTGGAAAACTCACCTAATTCGATCTGACAGATAGGTGTTGCGGCAAACCTTTGTGTTTCCGCAATAAACCGGTTCACGCGGTCATGATATGCCTTAATATGAGTTGTTTTGTTTGGTCTGTCAGACGATCTTGGCAGACAAACAACGAAGAAGGAATGCCAATAGTTTGGAAAGCTGTCCACAGACCGATGTGATACTGAAACCAATCGCAACCGACTCGTATGGTTTCTCGTTTTGGCACAACACATCCGACACAGCCAAATAAGGGCTTACATGCGGTTTGAATGATATTGGACTGCGGGTGGACTGATACCAGGTTGACTATTAAACAAAATGGAAGGACGCACGGTCGGGTTATCTATCATACGTCATTTTTACTCGTCCGGCCAAATGGAGTGGTACAAACTTCTGAATTCATAAGGCTGATTTGTGGTCTCAAATGTGCCTAACGCTGATTCTCGCTTTTTTGTGACAGTTGGATAGGTGACAAAAAACGGAGCCCGAGAGCTCGCTCGGTGTCTATCGGAGAGTATGTTTTTGTCAAAACCGCGCTGTTCACATCAGTTTCTTGCAGTGACGCTCGCATGTCGTTTACTCCACTGGAGCCAGGCAACTGAGTTGGGTCGCCGAAACAATTGTTCTTCAAGCAGTTCTCGTGAGTTAAAATGAGTAGTAAGCGGGACGCACACATGAGTAGCTATGGTTGTGTGTCGAAACACCACGGCGCATTTATACACTCATTTGCAAACTAATTTGTTTTTGCGAGAACTTACCCGGTTCTCGTGAGTTAAAATGAGTAGTAAGCGGGACGCACACATGAGTAGCTATGGTTGTGTGTCGAAACACCACGGCGCATTTATACACTCATTTGCAAACTAATTTGTTTTTGCGAGAGACTTACCCGGAACCCAGCTGAATCTCTCGGTTTTGATGTTTTCAGGCAACTGAATGTGCTGCACCAGGCCGCCTCATGTTTCAGTCGCTGCGTTATTTGAGATATCGCGATACATGTATATTTGCAATGCACTACTCATAAGGTTGCTGACATTTCGTGAGTTCTTACTTCACTTGTTACATAAAATTATTTAAAAGACAACAATTCAAGGGGGCCACCGCACTAGGACACACATAATAACCTCCTTCAGCTTACTTTCAATCCTGAAGTTTGGAAAATGCCGTTATAACCCTCAAGAATATGCCCAAACTCTCTCTCCGGGATACTGTCGATTGATTATTTGAAATCTTCGAGACGATTTAGACAAAGTTTAATAGCACTGTCACTCATTTGTTTTTCGTGTCAGCAAATAGACCAGCATTTTCCCGCATTTTAGTTCAGTTTTCACAGCGTAATATTACTACCATATAAGGAACATCATTCAGACACGCGTTATTCGTACAGGCAAAGGGGCGAACCCAAAGGTGCATGGGTACACTGTGTCCTGGATAAATATCCTGCTTTTCAGTGATACTATACATCGCCAAACAAATGACCCTCATATGAGATAAACTAAGGGAAAGCCTTTGCTGACTTGTGTCTAAGTAGGAAACCACTTTCCTTTAGAAACAGTTTTACTTACTTTTAGTTGTGTTGGTCACACAAAGTCGGAATGTGACCGTCCTGCAAGCGTGCGACAGTACATCTCAAATGTGAAACCAAATACCATAAGATATTGGCGTTTCTGGATATTCTTTCTACCCGACCAAAAGATGCAATGTTTATTGACCGACACAATAAGTTCATCACCTTTCTTATTCCGAATTGTGCCAGGACAACAGCGTAGTGCACAGGACCTCGTTTCAAAATGTAGTCATTCAGACAAGTTTTTACAACGCAAAATATGAGACCAGCGGGACATTGAATGCCAATGCGACATGTACCAAGTGGGACAGACACTTGACGTTGTGTCTAGACGCGCACTTCTCGTTATTCAACTACGTAACGCTCTCACTAGTGTGCATTTATCGATCCACTTGTTACTCTGGGGCAATCTCGATCGATAGAAGGACGAAAAGGTCATTATTACCGGTCTCTGGGAAACAAGGGTCCGATGCGGATGAGTGATCGACTAGTTGTTATCCACATCCGGAAAACCTATTCGGAGCTTCAGTGACCGCACATTACTCTGACTGTGACCTCCGTGAAGCCATTCGGATTTATTTTCTGTGCCTTCCATGTAGATGAGATGCCGCAGAAGTGACGTCAGCAATTCCTATTCGCTCAAATTTATGCTAACCAGAGCACTTCCGTTGTAGACAAATACCATCTGATAAGTTCACCACTTCAGAACGAACGAATTTTCCAGAATTCGTTTTGAGCGCGTTTTTGCGTGATGAAAAAAAACTGCCCTCTAAAAATTTTTATGAAAGTACTTCAAGTAGGTACAGTGCCCAGTTTGTTTGATTCAACCTTCAGAAGTGGGTAGAGCGTGAATTTACTAACTGGAAGGTCCGTGGTTGGAGCCCGACCTTTGCCTAGGCTTGGGCGACCTGGCAGTATCTCAGCCCTTGTGCTTCCTTCGGGTGGCATGGCAGCTAGGCACCGAAAGTGGGTTACAGACGAACGATTTATTATTTGTTTATATACAAAAATTGCGGATGAGCTTCCACCCAAGCTTAGCTAGAAAATATCAAGAGACTCGCACAAATTCATAATTGTTATTCTTGAACCCATGTGTAGAAAATCAATAAGATACACAGCAGGTTTGAAATCAGTATGACAAGATCACAGTGGTTTCGCCAGAGTTACTCCTCCGAACAGCTCGAACGCAGTTGTGTGACGATTTGTGTGAGAATTGTGAAGTCCTCTTGCCTTACATTTTTCAGTCGCTTGACCATGGATTTCAGCGCCTTTATCTCGTCCCTGGCAGCCCCCAAGGCAGACTGAAGTTCGTCAATCCGTTTCCCAACCAGAGTGGCCGCAGCAACACTCAGACCTGCATCGTTGATGACCTTTTGCCGATAGTCGCGGCTACAAAGACGGTCAAGTGCATTGCCCGCGGGACTACATTTTTCCGTAGCGTTTTTGTTGCTCCCGTACCTTGGAATACGACTTCCCAGGGTACTTGCAGTCGTACAGCGATCTGTTTCAGCGATTTTCTAACAACGGAAATGTGAAGAAATGTAAACGTTTACTGTTGTTGGACGTAACATTTCAAGATAACCGCATTTTCACTCTCAGCTGGAACCACAGCGTAAAAAATAAGAATGAATTGCAATTTTTACTTGACAACAGCCGTTTTCTGGTCGGATACACTTATTTGCAAATTAGCTTAGTGTTGAACGGAGAATCAATTGAATACCGGATGGAACTCTCGTTCTCTTCTAAGACTAATACTTGTAGGGCTTTTTAACAACGCACGACCGGTTTCCCCCTTCTTGGGGTCCGTAAGGCTGGCGTAACATCTGTGTTTCGGGCAATTTTGTGCTCCAATTGAACCCAGATTTCAAACTAATTTGGTTTTCACTGGAGACTCAAGTGAATGCCAGCTGATTCTCTCGAATATATTGAAGTCTCCAGTTGATATCACTTTAGTTTACAACTAAGTGTATTTTGCTAATCGTGTTCAACTTATTGTTTACGGAAAGGTTGACGAGAACTCGGGGATTGCGCCGATTTAATGAACTCCATTAAAGCAGAAGCCGGTTGTGGGTTGCCAAGGGTTTTTCTGGAACTTATTGAGTAATGTGTTTCCCTAAGACAATGAGCCGTTTTCTCATACGCTTACCACAAATCTTGTTCAAGTACGGACCTTGAGCCGGATGGTCAAACACAACCGCACGCTACCTACCTCTAGTGCCAGCGAAAATTTTCCGGGTTTGCCTACAAGAAACATATCGCGATCAAAAACAAGACAAAAACCTGAACGTGATCACGTAATACCAACTGTCGAAACCTTCATGATGTCAGACATATTGCTCAGTCGAATAACATCGAACGCTATGGTGCAATCGATCAGCAGTGCAGTACCGAGTATATTTGAACTGGTTAGTTTCCTAAGATAGATGCTATCAGTTACACTTCGCATAACAGCATGTGACCATTTTAGTGGACCTTGACAATCGTGTTGGAGTACCGACCAGACGTATCTGCATTCACTTTCAGTATGCATTCTATCAGAGTTATTTGCATTTTGAATTTGCCAGAACAATTGATACTTCTTTTCACATATTCGCTCATCTCTCCTTAAAATTTGGGTACCACAGCTGGGAAACAAGCTGTTCCCACTTGATTGTGGAACACCTAACGATAGCAGCGATTCACACAGCCCATTTTCGTAGTGGCTACATGTGCGTTCGGACTTGTCGACTCATATCTCAGAATAATTTGATATGGAGTTAAATGTTCGCACAGGAACCTAGTGCTGCTGTGCTTCCCGTAGGAATCACTCATCCATTGGAAACTGATTTTAAAGTTTTTAAAGATTTTTTAAAGTTTACGTCCAAATAATGCACAAAATTAAAACTGTCAGTAGAAGCCTGACGAAGTCCCAGCCGTGGGTGGACTGTCATTGGCCAGTAGAGTGATTAGATAACGAGTAGTAGTATGTGTCTAACTACGTCAAGAAAAGTTTCCAGAGGAGGATAGGCATTAGTTTTCTGACGTACAGGCGGCATGATTTATACTCGGGTTACCAGTCTTCGCTGAGGCCAGTACCAACGTGAAACTGTCCACTGACTGTTTAAAGGTAGGTTAGTTACTGATATTTCTGATCGCTGTACGGTGTGGAATTTACGGCAGTGGTACTTGTGCATCATTAAAAAGTGGCTGGTTTGTGCTGAGAGTGCTATTGAAATTGGTAGTCGAAAACACTGCAAAACTGGACACCTGTGTCTCGTGGGTGCACTGAGGCGTTTGAGGGCGTTTATTCTGACTTCATCTCTCCAAGTTACTTCCTCTCCATTAGTTAGGCCCCATGATTAAGGATGGAGCGATACGTTTCTATCAGAACGCTAGTCTCTTGCTCTCTTTCTAAGGTGAATTTAACCAGTAATAGGTGTTTTCGCCTTCATACACCTCTTATGACTGCAACCAGGGCGTCACATTTGATGTTTTGATTAGCTTTTGTTTCATTTCCGGGTCAAGATTAATTGTTAATCGAATTTTGTGTTCTGACAGCACACTCATACCTGAGCTGGCACCGAGAGACGTAGTTTCCATCACATGGCTGCTTGATGCTCCGCATCGTCTAGACTCATGCTGATTACATAGCATGTCGGGTAATCGATTAGCAACAAAGTATTGAATCAGGTTGTAAGGCCTCCAGAGCAAACTCTCAGGTTACTGGTAGTCGTTTAGTAGCCAATTAAATATCTAACTCAAATCACGTGACTGAATCGCTTCTCGAACCCAACCAAACGCCAAATACCCGTCTTGACAACGAAAAGTACCAACAAAAAGGTCATTCTTTGCCAAGACTAAGCTGATTGCTTTTTTTCACGCAACCAGGTCAGACTTACTCTGTCTCACACGAGTTTTGTGCTCCCTGTGGATTCCACAAAAACGAAAAAAAATGCACAATCGCCCTCCCACGGAATACTGCCATGGAGGGTCGATCAAAGATGCTTTCTCCTGACGGAGATCATCTTGGATAGCACGTTTTTCATAACTGCAAGCTGTCACGGGGTTAAGGAGACAGCGGTTGACATGGTGACAGATCAATTCGAGGACAGCTGATAACGGACTGAATGTGGAGGACGTTGAATGAAGTGTATCACACTACATGAATGCGAATAATCTAGCCCGTAAGCCCACGCACACACCAAGTCTTGCTTTGCGTGACTCAAAAAACGTCGACTGAAACCCCAATTGGATTACTTCTAAATAACCGACTGCAGTTCCAAAAAAAACGGAAAGGTAAGTAATACGGCTGCGCATCAACCTACTGCGCAGCGGAACAATCATGTGAAACAGATCCGTGCGACTATCCCCCCACGTCTGAATCACGTCCGATTTCATCATGTGCCAGAGAAAGGTCAAATAGGGACACAGAAAGTTCACACCCACTCCATGGCCAAGGCACCCCGTACACAAGCGCACAGACGGCCATCTATGATTAACCGAGAACCAGTGTGGGCGTGTGGGAGACACACTGGTTGGTTGACAGCGGATCGACCATCAAATACGGTGACAAATGAATCATGTATATAGAAGTTTGTAATTGCGTTAACACACAGTTCCTTCAGGTCGTCTTGTTGTCGTGTGACTATAGCCCAGTAGCGTCAGGGCAGGTGAAGAGATATAACAGTAAGTTTTCCGGTTCTTCCTGACGGCAACTTTGATTTAAATGCGACTCGAAAAAACGACGGGGTTTCACTTGTTTGGTGGTCGTTCCACGGCCAAAAACTTGGACAGATGCATCACAGGATGGAAACTTCGGTTGATTCCCTTCCTATACTCTTATTGTTTACTCACTTTGTGCGAACATATCCTGGTGTTTTGATGTAATATACTACTCACAAGGGTGCTGAAAATTCTTCACAGTTCACAACCGCTTTCGCTCTTCTTAGGGCTTATCAGACAGGCTCATTTACCGAGTTTTCATCAACTTCTTGTTCCACTTGAGATCAGATTGCACGAAATTAGTGAAATACACTCATTTGCAAAGGAACCTGGTCATGCAAGAGACTGCCCTAGAACCCAGCTTAATCTCTCATGTATTATGTTACTTTTGACAGGAACGTTAATCACTGGTTGACCCTGACCTCAAGCGCCTATTTCAGCGCAGTCACGTGCACTTCATCATCGTGTTGTCCCTTTGTCTCGGATCGAAGTGAAGTGTGATTTGTATAGAAACTGGTATGACGCCACCAGAGAACCGTTAAATCAATATATGAAGACAGTCCGGGTTTACAAGGGAAAACCGCCACATTTTACAACTATTCACAGTTGAGTTCGTTTGAACTATACGGAAATAGTGACCCCAGATGTGCGCGATATGATTTTACCTAACCTAGCACTATAACCGTAGTGCTGGGCGAGTCAAAGTATTGAATAACTACAACCTTTAAATTAGACAAAACCACCCTGGGGAGTCTGGGACCGACTAACTCCTTTTTGGAGCTCATCAGCTAAGTCTAGTCCCGCATTTCCATATTTTTGTTTCCTAACCAGTCGTACAATTTTATTCATGTTTGGACCATCCGCCCATCGTGGCGGTATTGATGGGAGACCATGCCTAAATTCTCCTGAATTGTTGGCGGGTAAAATTCTGAAATTTTCATCATCACGATGCACACTAATAAAGCACACTTTCAACGAATTTCGTAACACTTAAACGGGGACAACACAGAAAGTTCACACCCACTCCATGGCCAAGGCACCCCGTACACAAGCGCACAGACGGCCATCTATGATTAACCGAGAACCAGTGTGGGCGTGTGGGAGACACACTGGTTGGTTGACAGCGGATCGACCATCAAATACGGTGACAAATGAATCATGTATATAGAAGTTTGTAATTGCGTTAACACACAGTTCCTTCAGGTCGTCTTGTTGTCGTGTGACTATAGCCCAGTAGCGTCAGGGCAGGTGAAGAGATATAACAGTAAGTTTTCCGGTTCTTCCTGACGGCAACTTTGATTTAAATGCGACTCGAAAAAACGACGGGGTTTCACTTGTTTGGTGGTCGTTCCACGGCCAAAAACTTGGACAGATGCATCACAGGATGGAAACTTCGGTTGATTCCCTTCCTATACTCTTATTGTTTACTCACTTTGTGCGAACATATCCTGGTGTTTTGATGTAATATACTACTCACAAGGGTGCTGAAAATTCTTCACAGTTCACAACCGCTTTCGCTCTTCTTAGGGCTTATCAGACAGGCTCATTTACCGAGTTTTCATCAACTTCTTGTTCCACTTGAGATCAGATTGCACGAAATTAGTGAAATACACTCATTTGCAAAGGAACCTGGTCATGCAAGAGACTGCCCTAGAACCCAGCTTAATCTCTCATGTATTATGTTACTTTTGACAGGAACGTTAATCACTGGTTGACCCTGACCTCAAGCGCCTATTTCAGCGCAGTCACGTGCACTTCATCATCGTGTTGTCCCTTTGTCTCGGATCGAAGTGAAGTGTGATTTGTATAGAAACTGGTATGACGCCACCAGAGAACCGTTAAATCAATATATGAAGACAGTCCGGGTTTACAAGGGAAAACCGCCACATTTTACAACTATTCACAGTTGAGTTCGTTTGAACTATACGGAAATAGTGACCCCAGATGTGCGCGATATGATTTTACCTAACCTAGCACTATAACCGTAGTGCTGGGCGAGTCAAAGTATTGAATAACTACAACCTTTAAATTAGACAAAACCACCCTGGGGAGTCTGGGACCGACTAACTCCTTTTTGGAGCTCATCAGCTAAGTCTAGTCCCGCATTTCCATATTTTTGTTTCCTAACCAGTCGTACAATTTTATTCATGTTTGGACCATCCGCCCATCGTGGCGGTATTGATGGGAGACCATGCCTAAATTCTCCTGAATTGTTGGCGGGTAAAATTCTGAAATTTTCATCATCACGATGCACACTAATAAAGCACACTTTCAACGAATTTCGTAACACTTAAACGGGGACATTCAGCAGAGGAATATTACGGAAGAGAGATTTGGGCGAAATTTCCCCGAGGCTGTCTTCTATACGAACGTTTCTGTGCAAACGATTGCCCACCTTATACGTAATCCGACGTCTGTAGGGCTGCAAGCAAGTCAGCTGGCTCGCTGTCGCAATCCATGCGACAAACCCAATAAAATAATCACAGTGGATTTGAACGTCTACCAATCACCGCTTTTTAATGTCTACTGGGGCGACATATTTCATTCTATTTTGGCCCTCAATCAAAATCCGTACACAGAGTCAAATATAATGGATGAATCCACAGCCTCAGAGATACGTGAACTGGAGTAAATGCATCATTTCAGTGGACCGAAAAGCGTTTTGTTACCCAAATACAGTACAGTGTTAAGTGAGTTCCGTTCGACACATCGCCAAGCTTGAGCAGATTATGTCTTTCGGAATTTTCACTGCAACCTGAATCTTGTCATTGACCGAAAAATAGTTCGTGGAGCATTATGAAGGTTACATAAAGCGCAGAAGATGTGAAACGCCAGTAAATTTTGAATAATCGACGCTCGAGGTGAATTGCGCTAGGCAGCGCAGCGAGGTTCGGCGAAATCGGACCCCTTGTTCACTGTCTTCTCAATTTCTTGTCGAAGTGCGATCAAGATCACGTGATGTTCACAGTTTGTCCACACGAAATCTAGGAATCTTAGAGTATACTCACGTCTGATCTAACGTTCAGCTCTAAACATGTCCGATTAAATAAGCGCGGTATAAAGTAACCAAATCGAGCTGTTTTTTCATACTACTCAATAGTAATCATAATCATGACAGGATATATCCGAGCACAGGGAGACGCTTGATCCGAAACTCAAAAAATACGCGTCTTCTGATGTCACATGCGTAGTAAACCGTTCATAAAGAAACGAACCTTATGATATTCTGTCCTTGGCGTTTACACCCCAGAACCTTAGACAGCAACCAAAATAACTCACAGAGACTGTAATGACGGCATTTCACAAATGGTTTTATCAAATCATGCCCTATTTGGTATTGATTTGTGGACATCATGAAACGGGTATTCACTTTCCTGTTAACCCTGATCCACAGTTCACCGCTGACACTCCATGTAGTTGTCTGCTGCTGTGACGTGGCAGGGATTCTCTAAAAAAACGTATATGATAAGTGGTTATAACTCGATTATTTAAACCGACTAAACCTTGCTTTGGAGGGCAGGACGCTTTCAAAGCCTCAGGACCATAAAATGCTTACACAAGGATCAGAGAAACCTACTTTCTCAAGTTCCATAATCTCCTCTATTTGTCTATCCAGCTGGCTATTCAGTGTCTCCACTAGCTGACGCAGTCCATCTCGTTCGATGGTTAAAAATTCAACCTGTTTTCCAAGGTTGTCATCATCCGCTGTTTGACGGGTCGTCTCGTCCATGGAGCACTGCGACTTGTCAGGCACAGTGGGCGTTGTTTTTGTCACCCACTCCTTCTGCATCCGTTCCATTTCAGCAATCTTTTCGTTCTTCTGGTCAAGTATTTCCTGGAATAAATCGGCAAGATAGCAGAATGAGCGAAAAACATGATTTGCCCAAATAAGTTTCGCTTTATGTCACCCTTAGGGTTAAGAAAGTAAACGAACTGCATCAGTCTACTTATCGTGTAGTTGTCCACGATGGTGCCCCACTCGGGCACCATCTCGGAAAATCTTGATGTTAGATGTCCGGGGTTCAAATCCCTGCACGGCCGTTGGATATACACTACTGATGAGCTCTAATAGGGGCGAAACAACTCGAGTTCAGTGCTTCCCTTTGGTGTGGACTCACCGGACTAATTACATCAGAACAGGAGGATGACCGTTCAAACGAGAGTGGGTTTGGCTGTGAATAGAATACCCATCCCGCAAAACCCCAAACTGCAAATCCTGATTAGTTACACCACCCTACTCGAACCGGCGACGTAAGGCCTGCCAGACGACGTATTACTAATTTGGGTAACGAGGATGTTCGACCTCCGTCATGAAATTCACAGATAAGTAGCCACAACCCAACTTGTTTGGGCAACAGTTGTTAGTGTCACTGGAGAGGCTTTCGAGACTTTTGAGAATAGGTGGGAAGAGTCACCTGTGGGTGCATCAAATTCGAATACAGTTCATTCAGTACAGGTAAGCAGAAAATCGATGTTTCGAGCCTATTCTCGGGCGAATCTTTTCGTTCACTCCAGCTACTCAATCGAGCATTTTCTTCAATATTTCAACAATCCAAATAAATCATTGATTTCTTCAAGCCAATTTGAGTAAGTTCTTATTGATTTAATCGGGATAGAAACAGAGGAATACGCATTTAATAATGGTTACCTGGGTTGGTTTTAGTGAAAGAAGCAACACATTTTCCGGAAATAACATACTACTTACAAGGTTACTGAAATTCCCTCGAATACCCACGACTGGTTTCACCATTCGAGGGGTCCATTAGGCGGGCTTAACCCGAGAGTCTGTACCAACCAGTTGTTTGAAATGAATAGCTAATTGTACGCACTTGGCGTACTACCTTGATGTTGCCAGAAGAATATCAGAAATGGGCGATTCAGATGCATCTTTCTTTAACGCCAAACAAATCTGCAACTGGGCACATTTTTCAACAAAGTTAACAAAGTTGAGAATTTCAACTTAGGCCAAGACGCACAGTCAATTTCTCAGAAAGAGGCAAGATGTTTGACTGCCGAAATGATAAACTAAAACTGGCTTTCTCACTTTTATCATCATCACTTTTTATCTGCCCCTCAGCCCAAGTGTACTGTGGTCCTCTCAGTCCTTGCAGTTTCCCTCTATCGTATGTCTGATCTACGGCATGGATAAGACACAATTTGTCATCTTATTGTTTAGCTTCACCATTACCTGAATTCCACCTAAATGAGGCAGCATATTCGACCAATGTTACGATTGTTAAGAACATTAGTTTATGAAAAAGAACTAAAGGGACCATGTCCTAATTTCCGAACTAGCACGAACTTTTGACAAACGGGCACAAAGTGTTCATCAGACTCCTTAGCTCTTTTCCAGTGTGCTCAGCAGTGACAATTCTAGCCTGATGAAGGACGGAGGCCTCTTGATTGAGGCAGATTGAGCTACCTGGTTAAATTTGAAGAAATGTATCCGCACATAGCTGAACTTGCTAGTTAAATTTGCCTCGTTCTGTTTACTCTGCATGGCAAAGTGCCGTATCTCTCATTTCGGGTGCGTGAATACCTCTCTTGCTAGATTTGACAGCTTCTCAGTACTAGAATATTCCGCTATCTTGAGGGATGAGGGAGCGGCGTTTGAACACCGATTCTTGAGATCTGCATAGACGATATTGACCAGCGGTGCATATGGCCCAAAACTAATCAAATAATTAAGATGACAAGCGTTCTGAAGGGTGGAAGGTCAGTTTACACCGGTCTGATTACTTCCACGTCTCACAGACCAGCCCCATTTTTTATCAAGCTATTCATACTAAAATACTCACATTTATAATGAGGCCATAATCATAAGGCCATTGTCATGCCATTTGTTAAACTGTTAAACAGGGCGAGTTATTTAAAAAAAGTTCCTCTTAGTGCATTCTGTTCAATTTCAGAAGGTAGAACACAAACGCAACTTTTGATTGTGTTTTTGTTGCGGAAATTTCACTTAAAGATATCTGAACTCAAGAATTTGTGGCACGTGATCTTAAATGCACTTCTCAATAGGCATGCTCAAAATGTACCCTGAAATTAAAGGTTATGTGATATTGTTTCTGTGACCTTCAGTTTATAGGTAAGCTGGAAAAGTCCATAGTGGTTTGACAAAGTAAACTTCTCAGCAGTTAGGTGAATAGGCTACTTAGAAGAGTTAAAATTTCTACACCCGATCTCATCAGATGATGTTAGAGTGGCGTCCAATTTATCGTGGCACGCTACGTCTTGCAGCCAGTTTTACGATCGCTTATTTCTGCATTATAAAACGAAGAGAACTGGGAATCTCTGCTGTATTTTTCCAAACTTTGAGGTTGTTTCTCGCCAATTTAGTTGACCTGATGATCAAGCAGAACGACATTCCGTCAAGGTCACTGCATCAGCGAGGTAGACCGATCGGGACTGTGATATCCAGTAGCTACTCAGAAGCGAATAATGAGGAAATTAACACGTAGAAAAAACGCGGTAGGATTGATGCAGGTGAAAACACGGATATTGTGGGGTGAATGCCATGAGCTCTCATTTGCCAGACGAGTTTTCCACTGGTTGGCTTGCGGCGGACCAGCGTCCTGGACGAACTGAAAGCTTGCTCAGCAGCTAAAAGGCTAAAGGCTAATGAAAATGGTGAGCCACATGTGGGTTCATTAAACAGGGGTGTGGCGAATCGGAGTATGTGCGACGGATCTGTGGCAGCTAAGCTCTCTTCTCCCAAGCCGAACAACAGAATCAGAGGCTCGAATCCAATTTTGAGTGCTTTGTGACAGTTAACTTCCCAAGTCACCAATACGTACTTTTTGCAAATTCATGGGAGTAAACTTTAAAACACACTTTCGAGTTTGCAAAAGTTAAGTTTTGTCAGGACACGAAGCATAAAGTGCGATATAACACGGTACGATAGAATGTTGAACAGTAAGGTGAGGTACGGCGTCATGCGGTATAGTAAAGTGTAATACATAGTATACTATAGTATGGTATGGCAAAGTATGGTACAGTACACAGTATAGTATAGTATATTATAGTCAATGTTGAACAGTAAGGTGAGGTACGGCGTCATGCGGTATAGTAAAGTGTAATACATAGTATACTATAGTATGGTATGGCAAAGTATGGTACAGTACACAGTATAGTATAGTATATTATAGTCTGGTATAGTATAATATAGTACAGTATAGTATAGCGTAGTATAGTACAGTGTAGTATAGTATAGTATAGTACAGTACAGTGTGGTATAGTATAGTACAGTTTAGCATGATACAGTACGGCATAGTGCAGTGCACTGCAGAAACCGACTTACCTGATATTGGGTCTCCATTGTAGTATAGTATAGCATAGTATAGTACGGTATGGTACAGTATAGTTTAGTATAGTATGGTATGGTATAGTATAGTATACTATGGTATTGTACAGTATAGTATAGTATAGCAGAATATAGTACAATATAGTGCAGGGCAGTACAGAAACCGACTAACCTGATATTGGGTCTGTATTGCGTCGCGCTGAACCCGGAGACTTGATGATTCATCCGATAACTCTTTGAGCTTTTCATCCAGCTCCATGTGCTTTTTCACCTCCTGTTCAAGGGCCGTTTGTAATTTGGTCTTGCTTTCTAACAGAGACTGGATTAATTCATCGTCGTTCTTTCCCTTTTCTAAAACCCACTGGAGCTGCTTCTTCAGTTCGACAAATTCCGATGTTGCAGTCTTTTCTCGATTCTTGGAATTTCTTAGCCTAGTCCGAAGTACCGAAAGCTCTGACCTTAGGGACTCGTTTTCTTTTTCAATGTTACTCTCCGCAATCATGTTGCGTGATTTTGACAATGGGTTGCCCTGTTCCAAGCGACCGAAGGGTTGTCCCAGCAGTCTGTTGTCATCGAGGAAGTCCAATTCAGAGGCACCGAAAGATGTGGCCCCTGATGATTCGCCATTTTCGTCCCCCATTGCAAATTCAACCTTTGATTTGGTGACGGCAGTTATTTTTCCCATTTGGATCTCAAGATTTTTTATTTTGCTTCTTAGCAGGACAATTTGTTGTTGCCTTCCACGCCAACCACCAGAATTGCCTTTTGATGTGTCACCGCAGTTGAGTTGTAAGCCTCTTAGCCAGGTGCTGAGATTAGTGATATTCTCACCGGTTTCCAGCTCAAGGACTTTTCTAGCCAGTTTCAGATCTGCGTCTAAGATGTGGTTTTGATCCTTCAACTCGTTTATGTATTGTTCAGTTTTGCTGAGTTTTTCCTGAAGGGATTTCAGTGTTTTACACGCCTCACACTCAACTTCAGAATGCCTGATGGTGTTATTTTGTCCACCTGTTGATGCATCACTTTGTTTGCTCTGTTCTTTCAGCTGAACTTCTAGAATTCTGATACGATCTGCGAATCTGCGGGACTTGTTTTGTTCGTGCGCGAGGCTAGAAGATAGTTCGCGAACCTTTTTGGACAGTTCGATTACTTTGACAGCCGCTATGTCACCGTAGCGCTGGTTTTCAGGATTTTTCAATAGTTCAATTGGAGGTTTCGTTCCGTTTGACATAAGTAAGCATGGCTTTAGTTGAACTGTTTTCAGATTCACTTTCTTTGTGTCTGAACTCTCTACTTCTTTGATGGGCTTCAAACTCTCCACATCTGTTTCTTTAAATCTGGGACTGTTGCAAAAAAGCCTTTGTGGTAAACCAAAAGGTTGATCCTCCGTGTCTTTTTCATTTGGCATGCGGTTCATCCTGGCAGGTTGAGCTGGGGATTTTGAATCTTACTCGTGACCATTTGCAACTGACCTGAGGTTTCGAGCAGGCTGTAAATGGGAAATCTGGAAGTGAACGTTTTAGCAAAGCTGGCATCCCAATATGCTATAGGGATAGGTAGTCGTTGACTAGGTTGTATAAATCTTAGTTTGTGGCTAAAATAGAGTGATCAGGGATGTGCGTTAAAGCTGGACGCAGGTTACTGGGGGGAGGCAAGACCGATTTCAAGTTTCGCTTGTATCTCTTCAATCTCCTTCAAGTTGCCACAAGGTGGACTATGACAGTCTTTCCTACCTTTTAAACCTGACATCCCCCAAGTTTGGCACCACTCTAGATTTCGCAGGAAACTAAGCTTAATTCCCGTTGATTCTATCGCTTATGATGGTTTTTTCAACAGAGTACGCTGCATAAGTTCACCTCATGTTTCCTGTTGTACGACATTTGATGCTTTGCATTATTGGTAGTGTGAGGAGATTTGGGATTTTTGTGTGATTTTGTCCTATGCTGCAAAGCCGAGAAGCACTGTACAGCTGTTTCATCCTTATTGAGAATCATCAGCAGTGCGCATCTCACGAAACTCCGAAGAGTCTCGAACCCGCGACCTCCTGGCTAGTAGTTTGAGCACTTAGCAGTCCGGACCCGGGAGCTGATCAGCAGTGTGATTAACTCGCACTTAGACAAGATATAGCGCCGGTCATCCTTGCTGTATATTTTTTGACCAAAGCTGCTCTTCAAAAATCGTTGGCCGGATTAACCCATTTAGGGTTTCCCCAGTTAGGCACAGTCTCCAAGTTTTCGTCAAAATGGTGTCGCGATTGAAACCAAATTGTGTGAAAATCAACTCAGGCACCTCGGATATCGCACTAATTGGAGCGTGCGGTGGTGTTTATGTAGAATAAGATAAACGGCAGGACCATCTGTGATTCATTTAGTTCTCTCGTTTAGGCTACGTTGGCGAATTATTTTAACCCTCTGCACTACTACAAAGTTGGTGTCCAAAAGCGGTGAAGAATCTCCGATGTTTCAGAACAGATCAGTTGTGGTCACTAATCAATTCGAATTTTATCCCTGAAGGAAGAAAGAAACTTCCTCAATGGGCAGTTTATTAAGAGAAGAGTAGCGCCCCCCGTGTATGGTGCATCGTGGAACGTTGGAGACAAGTTGGGACAGAGTTAACTTCGTTCGACCCAACCACAACAGCATGGTTGAGCGTCTGAGAGTGATTTCCTCATCTTGACATGGGAAACGAGACTAAGACGATCAGGCAACTTTGAAGAATGATGAATGAGAGCAGATGAAACGGAGAAGCCAGGCCACAGTGGAACAGATTTATTACAGTGAAAGGAACCGCCATTTGTATTGATCCTCTTTCAAAGTAGATATCTCTTCTGAACTGAGACATGCTCATAGTACTCTGATTACGATCACTTTGCCCATTCGGAAGTTACGTGTGGAAGTGCAGGTGTTATCCTGCTATTGTGCGGCAAGATGTGTGTTGGGCAATTGACCAACCTGATATTGATTTGGAGGTAGAGAATTGTCGATTTTCGGGAATTCAAATGTTGAAAACGAAGGGAAAGTGATGGAGTAAACTTTTGACTGTACTGTATGGTGATTGATGTACTTCCCCTCTAATTTTTTGTCCGTTTTACAAAAAAATGTCATTCGTCGCAATAACTGAACGATGGGGCGTGCAGCCAGTAGTGTCAGCGGTTTGCGATTGATACATATGACTTTAGCTTTGGATGTAGTTTTGTGATTATTGGTTAAATTCATATGAGTAACATCCAGTATGAAACGGTACAGCTTGATAAAGTGTGAATCGACATAGAAAACGGTGATTTGAATTATCTTCCGAATATAGTGACTGTGAACGAACTCTCTCCTAGAACTTAGAAAAAAACGTCGTCAGATGCAAGTGACAGTTACGACCTGGCGACGCTATTCTTTACGTAAAGAGTGCCAAAGAATGCTGGAAGCTCTTCAAAAGTCGCTGCTAGTGAGGATTTGATGGTCTGGGTTGTACAGATGATAGTATACTCCTAATAAAAACGTAGGTAGAGCAAAAGCTGCAGAATAGACCGACCACCATCATGCTATCTTTCGATATGCATCTGACACCTTCAAAATTGCCAGCCACGCATCAAAACTACAATATGCTTGCATTTCAAAGATAATCACCGGAGGTTTTAAAGAATTTTACATCATTTAGTAGTTGCATCAATCCTGACGGACATTTGTTTGATAAAGTCAATGCTGGAACCTCAAAGGTTCAAATCGATTTGACTGATCTGCATCACCTGTGGCACAGAGTTTTGTGGGTACCAGGCTACATTTGAGATTGTGTTACTGCATGGTTGCGAGATATGAATCACTCGGACACACAATGTCTGACATCTTCAGTTTTTGCCATTAGATGCCTCAAAAGCGTTCGTAAAATTTTCGGTGGAAAATGAGCAAGTATTTCGCTTAAGTACTTTGTTTAAGTAACGCACCAAAACACCAGCAGCTGAGGTTGTCCGACCATGTAGTACGGGTGCCCAAGCATCGTATATTGAGAAAGAATTTCTAGTCTCGGTGCCACCTTAAAAGTAGCGCCAACAGCAAGATAGGCGACGTATAGCTTAGCAAGAGTATCAAAAGGATTTCCAAGAGTTGGAAAGATGCGCATCCAAGGATGGAGTCCCCGCTATCCCTGTTGCACTTCACTGGAGACAAGGAAAGAATTGGTAACCGATCGATATCAGTTGCACTTGTATCATCACTATCTTTCCAGACTGTCTCACTGAGCATTTTAAGGTATCATCATCATCATCGTGAGCAGGAAACCAGTGTCTAATACTGATGCTTCCCTGCCATACAACCATAATTTATTGGAAACCTTATTGTGAAGACAAGAATGAAAGTGGACGAGGAAGGGACTAAGTGCTAGCCCACCACAATCATCCAAAGGCACGTACATCTGCAAACATCAACTCAGTCAATCTGCATGAAAACTTCGAGCAAGAGCCTCACTGACATCTGTTGGTGGTCATAGCTTGCAGTGTCTCCAATCGGGCGCACTTAAGATCACGCGGTCTCCATCCGGGAAAGCGAGTCGCACAGACAGAACCCAGATCTTTCGTCACCTCTCTCATAGTCTATGCCTGGCCGAAAGTTGGCAACCTCTCTGCTTCGGCCACTTTAGATTGGGTGCGAAAAATCATACTCTCTTTGGAAAACGATGCTTCAGCATGCGCAACAAATATTCTAACGCAGCTTCTGGTGCTTGTCGTACGATTCTACGGAAGTCTTCGTTGAACCAGGGAAAGTTGCCTTATTGAGGATCCTCCGACACAAACCCACACAAGCTATGATTACGAAACAACGACTGTCGAGCACTTGAAGACGTCTCAGTTCCGCCGACCGAACCGACCCAGTCTCACAGTCATACAGCCGAAAAGCCCACACTCTAGTCTGTTACACACGTCCCTCGAGATTCAGAGATACACCACTCTGATGCTCTAGCTGTCTGAAGTTATCAAACGCGATTAAAGGCTTGCAGATTGATGTATTCACTTCATCTGTCACACTAAAATCAGAGCTAATATAAATTCAAAGGTACGTGAAAAGCTCGAAAACTTCGATTGACTCCCACGGGTAGTGAGTGGCCTGTTCAGTGGCTACACATCCAGGAGCCTGAACTCATACACTGTGGGTGCATAGTGCATCCCAAGAAACGATACGTCTTTAACAAGTTCATCGGAAAACACATACGCCTTCTCCCTCTGTTTAAAGACGAGAGGGATGTCGCTTGCACATTCCAGCTTGACAAGACTTTTATTGCAGGCTAAGTGAACAATAGGGTTTTACAGACCTTCCAACGTCCGTCCGATCACCCCAAAATCCAGAAATACTAAAATTATGGCTTTGCTCCAGCATTTGACGGTGTTTAAGATTTTGGTTAAGATTTTGGTTACTAGGTCAAAACCCTGATTGTTTCTCTCGAGCCAGTGTTTCACGAGCTACTGTAAGTGGACGAAACGCAAGTGACTCCATCGGTACAATACTATCGGGGTCAAGATGATCCGTCTGCAATTGCCACGCCCAATACGAGCTTTTTGTATAAAAAAATTACTGACTCCTTTAAGTTGTATGGGGCATCATCTTTTTCCTACCTGCAGTCAAGCATATCACACAAGCGCAGAATGAAGACTTCACCTCCATTTTCGAATAATATAAGTGGGAAGGCATCTGGACCGAATATTCAGTGGTGCATGAGAGTACATATGCAGTCACTCACGCCTGAATCCACGCTGACAGTCTAGGGTTCTAACTCAGCTGTGGGCCTCAGATAAGTGGCAGCTTACGGCTACTATAAATGTTGTTTGAAGTATTCGGCTCTGCCGTCAAGGCATCCTTCTTCACTTCACTTTTAGGTGTGGGCACCTAATTTCGTGGCTTAACCAATAAGCCTTTCAACCATAACCTTATAAAGTAGGCATAGCTTTATAATAGACCTAGTTTCTACAGGCTCCTTACATCTTGTGTCTGTCTTAACAATGGAGACGCTTCTGGGATAGAGTGGTTGCACTGATGGGCTTCCGGAAACGTAGCATACTAGTCTAGGCGTATCAGAAATTCCCGAAGGTAAGTTTGGTGATAGGTAACTGCACTAATAGAATGTGATACAGACTGACTCAAGCTCATATGAAGCATGTGGGTTACAATTCGCAACAGAAGCGCGACTTTAGTTCACATATACTTTTTACGGAGAAGCAACTGTAAAGCGGCATTCCGTCTCTTCCGAGTGTCAAGAAGACACGTCCGATGCAGCTGATAAAGACTCAAGGTTTGAATTCATGGAATCAACTCCATCCATAATTATTTCCATGGCAATCCATGATGAACCTATAAAAAGGCTTTGAATTAATCCGCATAAACAGCACCCGGAGGACTCAGTTTGCATTAATAGGCAAAGAAATGATAAACGTTAAAACGCTTCGACAG